TCATCCCCCTGTTCGACGGGGCAACATACTCTACATCATCCCATTCAACGCGTTATTCCAGCAACCCATCCCGCCTGGCCGGTTGTCAGCTAATTCTTGTAAAAGTATCATAACGTATGGCATCGTGATATGACACAGGTCCGTGAACTGACACACAGGTTTCACCGGTAGTCCCGATGTATGAGCCGATTTAATTACTTCGTATCAAGAAACATAAGTCCAATTGAGAAGAAAAGACCAGATTTAGAATGAGAAATGAAAGGAGAATGTAACTGTGAAAGAAAAAGGCCCAGGGGAAGAAAATTAGAACTTCAAAAAAAAAAAATAGGGGCGGCGGGGGGGGAGGGAGAACATAGTACTATGAGAAGGTACAAGGAAGAAAAATATAAATACTATGACCTCCGGGAGCGGAGGGACATGTGTAAGGGTTGGTCAGGTTTAGTACTCTTTTGAGCACGGAATGGACTGGTCAAAGGATGTCTTTGCTGAGTTCCGAGTGGAGAGTTCCAATCACTATCACTCAAGATTTCTTCCTCACTTTCTTCCATCACAGCATCGATGAACATCACCATAGGGGTATTTGCAATAACCACGTTTCGAACCAGCCGATCTGGTGTAAGAGGAGAGGAATACTGTGGCTGTATTGTTTTTGATTTCTGAGGTAGTTTGGTAGAAACTTTGTGTCTGGCTCGGTAGGTTAGGGCAAGTTTTTTTTTTTTTATCGTCCTTCTCAATACATGCATCACGAAGGCGGATGAGCTCGACTCCGTCTAGAACCCGGACAATGGACAGCTGTCGTTTATCGGTAGTGTTGTAGAGGCTCGCTGTACTCTGAAGACATTGGTCGGTCTCCAGGTAGAGATCTTTTTCAGCGATCTCAACTTCCAGCTGATGTCCGAGGTCACATAAAAGTCCTACCACCTGATCCCTAATGCCCACCCTTTCCACCCGTATTTTATCCTCTAAAGTTAGAAGCCCAAGATCAAGTATACTCTTCCCTATCTTAACCTTATTTCAGATATCCTGAGCATTTCTTGGGTACTTGACAAGTCCAAGCGTATCTCGCCGCTTCGGCCTTTCTGGAGTGACCTTTTGTAATACACGACAGGGATTGAGAGGACAGATCCCAGTTGTACTAAAGGCTCTTTGGATTGTTGTAGGCCTCATGGTATGATCGTGTACCTCTGTCAAAAAAGGAATAAAAACAGCCTTTTTGATTCCTTCCAAACTCTGGCCAGAATGAAGGTGTTTATCCACAGCCAGTCCATAGAAATGTTGGTATGGTGAAAAGAGCTCTCTCCATGTTACAAGGCTGTAATAAATATGTAGAATGGGAGGATAGCCAAAGGAGAAGGATGTCATGCTCGACACAAAACTGAATAAACGGAAAGGTAATGTGGGACCCATGTCCATTAAAAATTAAGAGCCAGGTTTCTCCAATACCCGTTATACTACTTGACTCCGCATCAAACAAATCCTCCAGCCACTCCAATGCAAGGAGATTGTCGGTCCAACCTTTAGGCGAGTAGCTAAAGTGATATCCTCGTTCCCCGTCGCTGAGATTGCGGTACCAGCCCAGGTAATGACCTTTGCCCTTATTGATAACAAATGGAGCAAGTGCAGCTCCACTCGTACACACAGTCTCAATTACTGTGATAAGTTCCCGCTTGCCATCATGAGTCACATGAGAGTTCCTACAGCCTCTTCAATACAGCACCTTTGCCCATGTTGCCAGCCCCATCACAAAGTCTTTTTCATCCATGTTGAAAATTTGACGGGCTTTCAAATTGTGGACTTGTATCAGGCGGCCTAACTTGGTGAAATAATCTTGCAAAAGAGCAGGGTCATTCGCATATGATCGCTGACACTCTAGCCGTGTACTTAGCTTTACTGCTAAGGATGAATTCCAAGTCAGAAAGCAATTGATCCAATTCTGCCCCACTGGCGATGGCTCCACACCTGTCCACTTCCGCTCCAAGAAAATTGCCATATCTTTCACCATATCAAGCCATGGTGGAAAGCCATTATCATCTTGTCGCTGACACCAGCGGACAATGGCAACCTCTTCCGAGTTTGAGAGGCGTTGTTGATTCTCATGCGACTCAATTCGGCTCCAGTGAGTGCCCTTCATTCGTCAGTACAGGGTTCACTTGTTTACTTGAAATTCTTCTGCTGCCTCAGACACTGGAATTGGGTTTTGCAGTCACTTTGTGGCCTTGATCGCTCTCTGGAGTCTTTCTTCATATTCAGAAGTCTTCCTCACTGTCACTTTCCCCATGGTTGATGGTTGTGTTATCGATTTCGCTATTTTCATGCACAGAAGCGGGGTTGATGTTCTGACAATACCAAGTCTCACATGACGCCAAGGTGAGTGTCACATCATAGTGCTGTGTCACATCACTGTGCTTTACGTTAGCAAGTTAATGAAAGTGGTGGTGGTAAAGAAAGAAATAAATAAATCAATTATCAAGAAGAATATAAGTGGAGTGGAGTGGAAGGGGAAATGAGGGAGGAGAGAGAGATGGGTAAGCAGCTTCTTACACAGAACGGGGAAAAATGCCAAGCATTGGGGGGGGTATTCGACCTATCCCAGAAAAGTTGATTTTGGGAGAGCCATACTCGAGTACAGTACTACTATAATTTATTCGATGCCACAAACGCATGATCGGTCGCTTATTTCCCTCTGTTTTGCGATGGCTTAAGGGGATGAAGAAAACTCACAAATCGTGACGTTAATAATCATGGGAATTCAAGTATGATATCGTACATAACTCCCCCATCTTATCCTTCCCAATTCACCATGCTACCTAAACCAGAAACTGCCGCTGTAGGGAAACACATCAATAAAATTAATCACAGGATCTCACCCGTTCCCTCCTCGACCCTCAGCAAGCACTCTGCCACGAACATACATCTATCTCAAAACCACATCGATGGACACAAATGGCCTATCAGCACCAGACGGTCTTTGGAACGTACATCAATCCCCACCCCTACCTCGTCTCATCCCTCCCATTCCTTGCGCCGAGCCTTTCGCGCACTGTATCTCTAAGACCAAATTACCGCAAAGCAATGTATTAACCTTACTTACATAACTTCGCTTTCCCAACCACAAGCTCGCTCACACAACACTCGTAGCGCACCAGGCTGTACGCCTTCAGTGGACAGAATTTAATAGAAAATGTCCGCAGTTTTCCGCTATCTTACAGTAAGCCCCGTCAGTTACCCACCATCCCCACCACGCGGTACACTCGGAGGGACATGGGCGGTACGATAGAGACTACTAAGCGATCAAGGTCATCAACCCAACCCCCTGTTTATGCACTTATATCCACCGGCAAAAAGCGAGTCATAACAATAGCACCGTACTCGTAGTGAGTTGGGGAGTGGTAAAAAAGTAACTTAAGACCTGTTGGACGGAAGTGTTTCTTGGCTGCTCACCGCATGTTTCCCCTATGGCAACGACTTCACAACCCTAACCCTCTTGGTATCAACTACTCCGACGCCTCTATGTTTGACTACTGGTTAGTCCTACACATCAAACGCCATATGTGACAACATCTGCGACGATACCTGCGACGACTCCATGTTAGGAGGCTACCCCTATCATATGGAAATACCGACTATCCTCGGTCAGAACATACCCTCGGTCAAGTTCACTTACCCTCAGCCGAAGCGGCACAAATGGGCGATAGTGAGACTGAACGTAATGGAGAACACGGCATGCGCTGGAAGTATGTGGAAGCAGATTAGTATGATCTAGGGAAGGATAAAAGGCAGCTTGTTTTTCCTTGATAGTTGTTTTCGTTCGTTATCCAATCTGTTTTTCTTTCCTCCGTTACTCGCATTTGGGTCATATCAGTCTTTCCCGTTTCTTATTACCTATTGTTGTTCTTTGCGAGAATACTTCTCCAGTTCGGATATTGAAATTTTATCTTTACATCTTTGCCTTGCCTAAGTCAATATTGTCTGAATCGCTGCCGTAATCCTTTGTTGTTTAAAAAGACCAACGGGGAAGAGCGATAGTAGAATCGGTCGACTCACTTTAAATGGGCAAACTCCAGTGGGCTCAGGTACAGTACGCTTCCGACAACCATGAAAATTTTCCTCGAGCAGTTAAAGCGCAAGAAATACCATAGGTACGAATAAGTTCAATCGTGCTCAGAGCCAAGTTGTCACTGAAAGCACTTGCCATCAGGTTAAGACACTGTGATACTGGTCGGCCGGGTCGGCTAGGCCGAACGAAGGCCGGGCCTAGCCTGCCGAAATTCCCGAGGATCCATCTCGGCCGGAGCCTGCAGGCCTCAAGGTATCATACCGTACCTGAACCGGGCCGGGCAGAGCCCAGCTATAGGCCATAGGCTTAGTACTGGCTATAGGATAGGCCGGCCTGGCCTAGCCTATAGGTGCTATCGTAGCCCGCCCTAGTCTATAGTAAAAAGCCCGGCATATATGTACTGCCCCGGTGTAGGCCCGGCTGCCCACTGGGCATACGAATCCATTTTTATTCTTCGCTATAACTTTCACTCCTGGCCCAGGATCCAAGTTTACTAGTCCAAAAATGGAGATTACCTCTTTACTCAAGGGTAGGTATACTGGCCATCATACATTTGTATTTTCATGGCAGGTTATTCGGGCTGCCACTACGGCTACTATTTTCCATAAAGTTATCAAGACCCCCGATTTTTCGTGAATAGGCCAGCAAGTTAAGCCCATACCAGGCCTAATAGGCTTCCCCAGGCTAATGGAATTTAGCCTGCCGGTATATTCGCCTAGGGTGTTGGTCGGAGTGGCCTGACTTGGGCCGGCCTACGGCCTATAGGCCGGCCTACTGGGAACACATTATTACTCGATGGGGTTCAGTGTTGCTAGAGCGACTAGAGAACGCATGAGGTTTAACATGCGCAGTTATATGGGATTGGATGCTCTTATGTACAATTAATTCTCATCGTGGCAAAAAAACAGTCTTCAAGGGCTCACTGGCACTTCTTTTGCGCAAGTTTTGAGAATAACACTTCTATTCATCCATCCTAAACAAAAAAAAATACTGAACTTTTGATCCCAACCCGACATACACCGTAAAACCCAAATGAAGTGATTATGGAGAAGCAATGATAAACACAGCCTAGGAGTACAGTTTCTTGTTGAAATCGTGTAACCCATGAACATTTCCTTCTGCTTGAGCGGAGACAGTTCTGATTTCGAAACGGACAATACCGTAATTGACGCCCTGTTGAAGCTCAGAAATACTCTGAACCCCAATATCTTGGAAAGAATGCTGAAGGCCAGCCTGAAGGTATGGGACAAACTTCGTTACCGAGCCACGGTCTAAAACAGAGCCACTAAATTCAGTTCAGCGGTGATCTGGCATTATTGATAGAGAAACTATACGACTTACCTTACACCTTGAGCAACACGGATCTTGTCACCCTCAGAGAAATATCTTCCAGTGGCAGCATTATCCCCGGTCTTCATGCTCTCCATTGCATCAATACTACCCATTCCACGGTAGGCTTTAACAAGCTTACCCTCAGCACTCAAGAAGTACTTGCCAGGTGACTCAGTCGTTCCAGCCAAGAGACCGCCCATCATAACAGTACTAGCGCCAAGAGCTAGACCTTTCACTATATGACCAACGTTCTGAATGCCTCCGTCTGCGATGCAAGGGACACCAAAACGGCTGGCAAACTCACAAATGCTGTGAACAGCAGCTGCCTGGGGGCGCCCAACTGCCATGACCTCCTGAGTGATGCAGGCTGACCCAGATCCCATACCAATACGAAGACCGTCGGCGCCGGCGGCAATCAAGTTTGCAGCCTGTTCTCTGGTGACAACGTTTCCAGCAATGACGTCAATGCCGGGGAACTCCTGCTTGATCCACTTGATCATAGAAACTTGATACATGCTGTTACCTTGGGAGCTATCCAAGATTACAATGTCCAAGCCAGCCTCGACAAGCTTTTTCAGTCTAGCCTTGTCATCCTCCCGGGTACCTATGGCCGCAGCGCACAGCAATTGCTTGCTATAAGGGCGCTTGGAAGCGAGAGGAAAGTGAAGGTTCTTCATCAGATCAGAGCGGGAGAGGAGTGCGGTGAGATTACCAGCCTGGTCAACGATTGGGAGCTTTCCCTTCTTCGAAGAGCGAAGGATTTCGTTGGCTTCGGACAAGTTAATCCCTTCCGGAGCGGTAAGTAGCTCGGTGGTCATGACCTCCGAAAGAGCCGTAGAGTTGTCCCTATGGAATTGAATGTCACGCATGGTGACGATACCGATAAGCTTTGAGTGGAGATGACCGTCCTCTAAAGTAGACCTACCAATTAGCGATAATTCCTGCATGTCAAAACCTAATAGGTGAAACAAAAATATTGTACGGCCAGCATCAGATAATTTCAGTTCTCCACACGAGATGTACGTCGATACGGTTGAACGAAAGTTATAATAGATTTTTCAATCATCACACAAAGCCTGTCGGAAAACAACTGACAAAGGAATTTCGGCTCGTTACCAGTGATTGGAATTCCAGCAAATCCTTGCTTTTCTTTGACCGCTCTAACATCTCCGACAGTGTTCTTGGGACTCATAACAACGGGATCCAAGATAAACCCGTTCTCGTATTTTTTGACCTTTCTCACCATCTCCGCTTGGTCCTCAGCAGTGCAATTGTGGTGAATAACACCGACACCACCGAGAAGCGCCATGAAAATAGCCATCTGTTCCTCAGTTACAGTGTCCATTGGAGAAGAAACCAATGGAAGCTTGAGCGAAACCCGCTTAGTGATTTTCGAATCGAGGGTCACATCGGACGCCGGAAATCCAATATAACCCGGAAGGATGAGAAAATCGTTGTATCTAACCCCACAAAAAGACATCGAATCAGAGAAAAATCACCCTGTAGAATGAGACAAGAGGAAACATGAAACCTACGTCAAGCCCCCACGTTTGGAGGAATCAAGGAGAGAATGGACATCTAAGCCATCTCTCCGATATTCCTTCTCTAAGACGCTCAGAGCGGTTGAGAAGTCAAGGGTCCCAATGTTTGCTGCCGTCGAGGACATTTTAAAGGAATTATAAGGAGTGGTTGGCAGATTAGAGGAAGGCGATTACTTGCGATCAATCAAAGGCGAGAGAGGAGAGGAAGTTGATTGAGCAAGGGATACTGGTATACCCGTACCAGTCCAAGAGAAGGAAGGGAGAAAAGGAAGAAAGGGAGAAAAAAGAGAGACAGAAAGAGACTCAAGTTAGGGTTAGGGGAAATTTCGGGAAGAAAGGAAAAGAGAGAAATTTGTTAGCGGGGGGGGGTGAGGGAGATTGATGGCTCCATCAGGGTTGTTGGTGGGGCAATTCTGGACTGCGTGGGATAGGGAAGGTTAGACTTCATTTGTTCATCTGATAAAGATAATCGTTTTTGAAAGGTTATACTACTGATAACCTACGAGCTTTGTGCTACAGTAACATACCGCCGAGATCAGTGGTTTCCATTCGAGTACGAGTAGCTGGTCCTAGCGAGCCCTGCTGCCCCCTTCAGAATTTGGTTGGTAGCTCAGCTCGACCTGGTTCACACTTGCAACCAACACTACACCTAATAAGGAAGATTGTTTACCAAGACCCATCCAGACACAACACTTCACATTGTCTCCAGCAACTGACCTGCATAAAACTTGCATTTGAAGCGTCGGCTTGCATCATAAGACAACTCGACGCTCTCTTGTCAATTGCACTCTACAGGATTTTCCCTCTTCCCCCCCCTTCATACGGTGCTCGAGTACCGTACCTGACTTAACTGAAAGCCTTTATGGTTCTCTATTTCCCGTCCAATCCTCCTCAGCACTCACTCCCGTCTTGAGTTGGGGAGTTGGTCGGTCTCCTTTCTGCGCGGAGGCATCGTAAGTCCCTTCTCCGCGTGTTTGTGCTTGGATGCGCACTGGCCACATTTATTATTTGTTTACTGCCCAGACCTTTATCGGCCTCCCCTAATACCTACCATACAGAGCCCCAAACTACGCCATCTTCCTCCCGCCATTATCATCGCCACCTCGTTCTCTGTCCCCCTCCCCCTCATATTCCTCTCTTTATCGTCTATACCTCATACCTCCATTGCAAGTTATTATTTTGTGTTATCCATTCTTTTCGCAATGTCTCTCTACGCAAACCTGTCACCACACAGACGACAGCCATCGAACGCATCAACCGCCTCTGTGACGTCGACCGCCTTCTCTTTTCCCTCTTCCCGTTCAACAACTATTAGCTCAACATCAAGCTCCTCCCGGTTTGGCTCAATCGAGGCCCGGGAGGGCTCTACCAAACACAAACATACAATGTCTCTTGGTGCCAATATGTCACCCACTGTTTCCTCATACACCGCAAACTCTATTCCTACGACACCTCCAAGACCCTCCACCGGAAAAAACTACTCTCCTTTGGGGTCACACCACACTCGCGGTAATAGCCATCCCCCGCCCAGTGTCTCCGGATCACCGCAAAGCAATGCCACAGGCTCACCAAGATCAATGCAACGACCTTTACCAACACCGACGCCTTATAATTCGTCCTTCCGACAATCCGTAATTTCCGGCACCACCTCACTCAAGGAAAGTGATATCGATTCACTGCGTAATAGCAGTGTCTCTCATTTCCGTACCTTATCCCGAATAAAGAATGAAGGTGCCAATGAGGAATTTGCCATCGATGCTGGACAGGATGTAGCGGGGATGTATGGTCGGAAGCGACTGCAGAGAGCAAATACCGACAACTTGACCAGCTGGGAAAGAATGAATTGGATGGACAAGCGACGGCAGTATATCCAAGCTTATGAGTATTTGTGTCATATCGGCGAAGCCAAAGAGTAAGCTCCATATAAAATTTAATATCCGTCCCCAGCTCACTTGGTTTTTGAACAGATGGTTAGAAAACTGCATTGGCGAACCAATCCCCCCGGTTGTCGAGCTGGAAGAAGCGCTAAGGGATGGTGTGACCCTCGCGAAGTTAGTACGGGTATTTGCGCCTGAGCTAGTGCCCAGAATATTTGAAGCGAAAAAGCTACAATTTCGCCATTCGGACAACATAGACCGCTTCTTCAAATTCCTCAAGAGAGTCGAGCTTCCAGAAGTATTGCCCTTGATCGGCTACGCTTAGGATAATCGGCTAACAGTAGCATAGATCTTTATATTCGAACTCACCGATCTTTACAACAAAAAGAATATTCCCAAAGTAATCTACTGCCTACATGCACTCTCTTACCTCCTCATTCGCCTCGGTCTTACAGATAATTCTATTGGTAATCTTGTTGGGAAACTTGAATTCACGGAAGCCGAAATTCAAAATACCCGGCGAGGTCTTGATATGGCTGGAGTCAGTCTGCCCTCTTTCCGAGGCGTAAACAAGCATTTCGTCGATATAGAACCAGAGCCAGAACCGATCGAATCAGAGGAGGATAGGATCGAAAGGGAACTGAAAGAGCTGGAACCAAACATAACCGAGCTTCAAAGGATATGCAGAGGGTTTTTGGTTCGCAACAGGTTGGGCCACCATATGGAACTCCTTTGGGACTCGGAGGATTCTCTCACCGAATTACAGGCTCTTATCAGAGGAATGTTTGCCCGTATCGCATTTGGATATAAGGCAGACATGGCTAGATGGGCCAAGGATGTTCAGGCACATACCAGAGGTTATCTCATTCGACAAGCTATATTAAGCCAGTTACGGCACTTTACGAGCCATGAGAGATTGATCACACGACTTCAGGCCCGATACCGAGGAAGGAAGCTAAGGGAGAAGTTCAGGAAACAGATGATGGAGCTGGAACTAGCAGTGGTTGGGGTTATAGAATTACAAGCCGCGGCAAGAGGTATGCTCTTAAGAGCGAAACTTGGTGCTCAAATGGGTGATGTATATGAGAATGAGGACTATATCGTGGCTCTCCAAGCAAGAGCCAGGGGTGCTTTGTTACGGATGAGTCTCGCTGCCAAGATGGACAATGTTTTCGAAAGCGAACAAAGAATCACCGACGTGCAATCTGCAATCCGTGGAGCGTTGGCGCGGAGGAAGAAGGGCCGCCTACTTAGCGACTTGAATGATGCTAAGAAAGAAGTTACAGAATTGCAAGGGGCTATCCGAGGGAAATTGTTGCGGAAAATAATTTCAAAAGACGCTAAAAATTTAGTGAAAGCCGAAGATTCCCTCACCAGAATGATGGCCGGTGCCCGAGGCATGCTTGTAAGGAAAGCCATCCAGCAAGACCTCGCAGCATTGAAGGAAGTAGAGACCACAATTTCTGCACTACAGGCCGCCGCTCGGGGTACCCTAATCAGGAAAACGATGGAGAGAGACCAAGGAACCCTCCAAGCCGAGGACGATGTTCTCCCATACCTTCAGGGAGCCATTAGAGGCCATATTGTTCGTCAGAACTTCAGCTCAGACAAGGCAGCCGTTGAGGCCAACGTGGAATTGTGGACCAGACTACAGGCTATCGGACGAGCAAACCTCGTCAGAGCGGAATATCGGCAGAATCTAGAGCGTCTCGAGGAGGTCAGTGAGGAGGTGGTAGAACTTCAAGCCCATATCCGAGGTGCCCTGGCCAGGAGCGCCATTGACGCCATACTAGACGAGCTAGATGCCCAAGCCGGAAGGGTGGTTGATTTACAATCAAGAGCTCGGGGTACCCTCCAGCGCTGGGCCGTTTCCGATATCCTAGATGCCCTCGATAGCGAGGTTGACGGTATCACTAATATCCAAGCATACGCTCGCGGATCTCTATTCCGCCAACGACAAGGGCGATTCCTGAGTGGACTATTTTCCGAAATAGATTCGATTATTGAAACGCAAGCTGCAATCCGGGGTGCTCTGGTCAGAAGCTATGTGGACGATATGATTCTAGCAGTTCAAGACGAAGAGGATGCCATTATTGAGCTTCAGGCTCTGGCACGAGGCTGTTTACAGAGGAAAGCATTTTTCGGGAAACTAAAGCACTTTAAAGAGAATATGGAAAAGGTTGTGAAGATTCAGAGCTTTGTTCGAGCAAAGCAACAAGGGGAGGCCTATAAATCACTAAGTAAGTACCTTTTGCTATCCTAATAATACATACACTCGTACTTACGCTTCTCTAGTGGGCGGTAAGAATCCACCAGTCGGAACCGTGAAGAACTTTGTCCACCTTCTCAACGATAGTGATTTCGATTTTGATGAAGAAATCGAATTTGAAACGCTTCGAAAGAACGTCGTTCAGCACGTCCGAGCCAATGAGCTGGCCGAAGCCTATGTTAGTCAGCTTGACATCAAAATTGCCTTGCTTGTAAAGAACAAGATCACCCTGGACGAGATCATTAGGCACCAGAAGCGATTTACCGGCCATGTTGGAAATCTACTCAGCAATACAGCAATAGCTAGCTCCGACCCCTTCGACCTCAAGGCCCTCAACAACAACTCTCGTAAGAGGCTTGAGCGTTACCAACAAATGTTTTTCGCCCTTCAGACTCAACCACTATACCTCGCTAGATTATTCAAACGAGTTCGAGAGCAAAATACCCCTGATCAGGAGATAAAGAAAATTGAAAACCTAGTGATGGGGATCTTCGGATACGCTCAGAAGAGACGCGAGGAGTATTACCTACTAAAGCTGATCGCGAAGAGCATCAATGAGGAAGTGGACAACTGCAGTCGTCCGGAGGAATACCTAAGAGTCAACTTCTTTTGGATGAAACTAGCTATGAATTACATTCGATCACCCAGGGACAGAAAATTCATGAGACACGTCCTTGGCACCCTGGTTAGGGAAGAATTCATCGAGAATGAGGAACTTGACCTCGAATGTGATCCTCAGCAAATTTACTTATCGTCCATCAACAACGAGGAACTTCGAACCGGTCGAAGATCCAAACGTGATCCAAATGTTGGCCGCGATATAGCAATCAAGGACCAAGAAACCCGAGAGACCTTCGTTGCTCACCTCTCTGCTTTGAGGAACCTTGCTTACGACTTTATAAGCTCTCTCGAAGACAATCTCAATCTCATGCCGTATGGCATACGATATATCGCCCAACAATCTGTTAGAGCGCTCATGGAGCGGTTCCCCGGTGAAGACGAAGAAGCAATTCTGCAAATTGTTGAGAATTTCATTTACCTAAAGTATTGGGGCCCTGCGGTGGTGGCTCCCGAGACCTATGGTGTTGTCGAGAAAACCCCAACTCCAATGCAGAAGAAAAACCTTGCGGAACTTGGGAAGCTCTTGAATCAAATTTCCAGTGGCCGTCTCTTCGCACAAGCCAATCTCTTCCTGCAGCCTCTCAATCACCATATCCCCGAGGCGGTTAGCCGGATGAAGAGCATTTTCAGGACAATCGTTAGCGTTCCTGATTTGAAGACGCGTTTCGACATGGACGAGTTTGAAGATCTTACCAGCAAAGAGAAACCTACACTTTATATCAAGATGTCCGACATCTTCACAATCCATCGTTTGATCGCTCAGGACATCGAATCCATTGCACCTAGCAAGGAAGATCAGATGAGAGTTATTATCAGCGAGCTTGGGAGTGTGAAGACTTCAGAAGCTGAATTGAAGAATGTTGGGAATACCGAAATTGGGCTCCATCTTGACCCTCACTTCCAGAAGATCGAAGACCCGGATAGTGAGGTTAATGCACTATTCGTTGAGACCAAACGTTGCATTCTTTACATCATCCGCGTACAAACCGGCTCAAATCTTATGGAAATTCTCGTAAAGCCCATCACGGTTGAGGACGAAGAACGGTGGGAGATCCTCTTGGAGGAAGAGCGAGTGCAAACCGGAAAGAAGAAGAATGCCTATGCAGACGCGACAACCCTCTGCGACATCAATTCGTAAGTTTTCTTCCCCCCCGACCCCAGTATAGCGCTAACATCACCCACAGTATGACATACGGAGAGCTCAAGAGGACTGCCCTGGAATGCATAATCCGATTAGAATCAACTGGAAAAATCACCCGTAAGAACCAGTACCAGGACCTTTTAAATGCCATTGCGCTCGATATCCGAACAAAGCACAGACGCCGAGTCCAGCGAGCCAGAGAAGTTGAAGGTGTCAAATTAACGCTTGCACATCTGAACGAGAAGGCCACCTACCTAGAGGGCCAACTTCAGAGTTACAATGACTACATCGAACAGGCGATGGTTACTCTCCAGACCAAGAAAGGGAAGAAGAAGGTTGTCCTGCCTTTTACTCGGCAGTACTTCCATATGCGAGAACTTCAGAAATCCGGCCGGGTGCCCGAATTTGGATCATTCAAATATAATGCAAGAGGGTTGGCAGATAAAGGCGTGTTGGTGAGTTTGGCAGGCTTTCCAGAGAGGAAGTGGGATAAAATTGGCTTCACTATCTCTTCTGAAGTAATTGGGGTTTTCCACATCGAAGCCAGCAACGGCAGTATGATGATTCCTGGGGCCAGTGCAGATGTCTTGTTGGACGATCTATTACAGGTATATTACTTCAAAAACACCAGCATATGTCATATGAGAAACTAACGCCCCTTTAGAAGCAATTCCATAACAACCAGTTTCTGGTGGTGTGCGATGGTATGATCAAGTTTAATGTAAACTTGCTTCTTCACCTTATCTTCCGGAAGTTCTACCGAGATGAATAAGCGGTGCTTTCTACTTTTTCTCTTGCCTTTCTAGCGTTCCTTCTACTGTTCTTAAATCATAGCACAAAATCATATCATAGCATGTTCTTTCCTTGGTTGGGAATAGCCGGTATCGAAGCAGGGCTGGGGGTATAAAAGTGGTTGGCTGGATATTGGGACTTGGGCGTTTTCTTGTCTATTATACCACTCTTCTTTGTATGTGTTTTCTTATTTTTATTTTTTCCTTCTTTCCCAGAGCATTCATGCCAAGGACCGTTTTCCCATTCAACTTTTACCCTTACTAAACCTTGTCCTTTTCTCCTTGTAAATCACTCATGTCTTCTCTTTATTTTGAGCGGGAGTTGGCTTTTTTTGTCCTTAACTTTTTTTGTTTTTCTCTTTTTCATCATCTCTTCTTGATGGGCTGGCCTGGACAACCGATACTTATATCCCTTACTCTTCTTGGCCCTCAAAGGGCCATTGCTGCAAAACCGCGATCCACAATAGAGTCCGTTCAAGCGCCCCGAGATCCCGGTACTAGCTGTACCGGCGCAGAGAGTAGGCACCACAACCAAATCCCGACCAATCAGACTGCAAAGACTTTCCAATTCCCGCCACCCTACTCGAGTAGAATCTCGCGATGCGGAAACAGGTTGTGATCCTCGCTTAACTTACCCAGAATTGGATAATTTGGTTTGTTTCTGGGTCCATCGGAAAAATTTCCAATGCGTTCGGCCACATCTCTACGGTAAACAAGCGACGCACCGACTAGTTAGTATTACGGTGGGTGACCACGCGAGAATCCCGGTTGCTGAACTCTGTTCACAGTTCTATAAATTTATATCATAGTTTTGTTGACGTTTTGGACTTTTTTTTTCTGGTAGTGTGGGGGTCATTATTTTTCTGTAAATATCATACTCGAGTAGCCGGTTGGTTATGATATGTGGTTTCGGGGGTGGAGGTGCGGATAGGGCCGCCTAGCGGAATTCTTCGCGATGTTGATAATTGAAAGTTTTAAGGTGGATTGCGACCGTGATATCGATCGTGACAATTATCTCCCTTGATTGTTGCAGGCCGTAAGGTTGGTTGCATCAAGTCTTGTTTGTTGTGAGTTGAGCAATTTAAAGTGAGTGATTTACCGTGATCTGGCCCTTACCATAAGCTGGATTTAGAAGATCGGTCAAGACCGGAAGAAGCCGCCGCTAGCAGGACATGGGGGGGATTGTACTCGTACAGGGCAATCCAGCATGTGCGATCCTTTCCCTAACACCAATTTGGTTTTCTCGCAGGGTCAGGAAAGGAGACACGTCGTTGCAATAGGGACATTGGCGAGTGATGCTCGCTTCAGCCTTCGGGGCTTGAGGTTGCTGTAGCAACGCAGGGTGGAAGGTTTTCCCACGCGCCTTGGCTACCCCAAACAAACAGCAAGCCTGACTTTTCAGAGAGTCAAAACCTTCAAGTTCTCTCGCTCCCCTACTTTCCGATCATTTATGATATTCCTCCGTCAATCCTTCCCCCCCTCCCAAAAAAACATACACCGATTGACGACGAAAAAAATAAACAACCAGACCCTTCAACCAACTATTGATCAAGTTGTTTGTGTGGTTTGAAAAGTAGAGGGAACCACAATTCGATTTTGTCATTCTTTTATTCCTTCTAATCTCCTTTGAACGACAAAATGTTTGAAAAATCTTCGATTTCGGTGACAGGTAGGTTTGATATTCCTATAATCCCATTTCTTTATCTAGAACTTGGCTAACCAATCCATTTTTTTATTCTAGTCCGGGTGCGTCCGTTTAGCATTCGAGAAGCCGCTCAAGTGTTTGTTTACCCTTTGCCGGTACCTGGGTGAAAGAAAGGTTTCTCGTCTAACTGAATGTTTCAGGACACGAATTGAAGATTCACCATCATTTTTTGGCGATGGCTCTCTTATTGCAGCGCCTCCTCCAAAGCTTTCAGGGAAAGGTATTCGAAGTGTAGTCAAAGTTATAGATGATCGTGTCCTGTATGCTGGCCCCCTTACCCCTCACTTTCTGCTCCCATCCAGGCTAATCTCACTCGGTTGTTAGAGTATTCGATCCCCCGGAAGGAAATCCTGTTGCACGATATCAGAAGACGATTGTTCCGCAAGGAAAGAGAGTCAAGGATATGCGATTTGGCTTTGATAGGGTTTTCGATGAGAATGCTACTCAGGAGGACGTTTACGAAGCTACAACAAAGTCGCTCCTGGACAGTGTATTGGACGGATACAATGCTACGGTGTTTGCTTATGGAGCTACTGGATGCGGAAAGACACACACTATCAGGTTTGAAGGTCCCCCGCTCTTCGGCTTTCCTTTCCTTCGTGCTAATTTGATTGTTCACTTCAAGTGGAACCCCACAACGCCCTGGGATAATTTTCCTTACCTGCGCAGAGCTATTCGAGAGAATCGGGTTATTGGCAGACGAGAAAGAAATCGAATTGACGCTTTCGTATCTCGAAATCTACAATGAGACTATTCGAGATCTTTTGGTCCCAGGTGGGAGCAAGATGGGATTGCAGCTTCGGGAGGACTCGAGCCAGAATATCTCCGTTTCAGGACTATCAACACATCAGCCGAAGAACGTCCAGCAAGTGATGAATATGATTTTGATGGGCAACCAGAATCGTACAATGTCGCCGACAGAAGCAAACGCTACCTCGTCTCGTTCCCACGCCGTTTTACAGATTAACGTTCTGCAGAAGCCTAAGACTGCTGGCCTCTCGGAGAGCCATCTAATGGCGACGTTGTCGATTATTGATCTTGCCGGGAGCGAGCGTGCATCTGTCACCAAAAATCGAGGAGACCGGTTACTTGAAGGTGCCAATATTAATCGGTCCCTACTTGGTAAGTATATGCAACTTGGCTTACTTGTGCTTTGCCTGTGCTGATTTTACAAATAGCCCTGGGAAATTGCATCAACGCTCTCTGCGATCCTCACAAATCGAACCATATCCCTTACCGAGACTCCAAACTCACTCGATTACTTAAGTTCTCGTTGGGAGGAAATTGCAAAACGGTCATGATTGTTTGCGTCAGTCCCTCCAGTCAGCACTACGAGGAGACCCATAACACCCTTAAATACGCAGATCGGGCGAAGAATATCAAAACCAAGATTTCCAGAAATACAATGAACGTCAACAGGCATGTCAGCCAGTATGTGAAAGCGATCTACGATCTCCGAAACGAGGTGGAGGAGCTCAAGAAGCGGTTGGGCGATTCTACCAAGGAGGCGATGGAAAAGATTGTTCGACAGGGCTCTGCCAAAGAGAGCTCAATCAAGGATGGAACGAAGAGGCTGAGGGTGGCTTTCGAACAGTCTGGGGGAATGAGACGCGAAAGGGTTAATGACCTCAAGAACCTCAGGATGGTGGAAAGGCGAACATCGGTGGTGACTGCCTGGATAGCTGCCTTTGACCAGGCCTTCGATAGTTATCAAACTGAGGATCCCCCAGCTTGCGTATTGAAGATGCGTGCTGAGGCACAAAAGGTCATACTTGATCTGCGCGGAAACCGTCAGCATCTCCAGCAAAAACTTGCTAGGCCTAACTGGGAGAAAGTCATCGATTCTGCTCTACAAGCGGGTCTGCGGAGTCTGCAAGCCTGTGGTGGAGTTACAGAGACCGATATCGCTACATTGACCTGCGAGGCCAACCTTCTAAGGATGACTGCTGAGAGAGATATCTTGCATGCGATGGCTGAAGCTGATGTGGATCTCTCGTCAATGGTCCATACCCTTTCGAAGGCTCACTTCGAGACTGTTGGCACGATAACTCGTATCCTCGAGTCAAATGTAACGGAGGAGGAGGCACTGGAGATGGCTAAGAGATCCCTATTTGAGGTTCAACAAGGTGCATCTGATGCCGCTTCTCACGTTATCAAGCCGAGCGGAGAGCTGGCTTCGGGCGAGTCTTACGACGTATATAAGCCTACTTCGCCGCGGAAGAAGAAGTTCCCCAGAGTAAGCCTGAGTATGGCTTCCCCGGCGAAGCCATCTCAACTCCCCCAACTCGGGGTTATCCATTCCGCCTCGCCCGTGCGATATTCCCCTCGGCCAATCAAGGTCAAAACCCCGAAAAAGGCCGTCAAGTTTGGTAAGAAGAAGCGTGTGAGATGGCAGGATGAGACTGAGGATTCGTCGTTCACTTTAGAAGAACCGAGAAGAAAGAGATTGGAGGAGCCTTCAATTCTCTACGAGGACTCGTCATCCATCCTAGTAGCACCCCTTGAGAATGAACCATCATTCTCAGCAACAAGTTTTTCCACAGAGGAAGTACCCGGAATCATGCAACCACCCATCAGACCGAGGAACAACCGTTTAGCAGTAGGTTTCTTGTCGAAAAACAGGGAATCCTTGGCGGTGGTTCCACCTGCGGAGATCCCATTACCCTCAGACTCCCCATTAAGGTCATTCGATACCGACCAGGTTATCAACAGAGCAAAGACGGACGCTGATGTTTTAAGTGATCTCAGTTCATCAGACGAGGCAAAGCCCTGGAGATCCCACGCTCGTCCATCCAAAAGCGCCATGCGGAAATCAATCGTGTCGTCCACCGTCAGTAGGCCAGCAGGCAAGCGGCGGAGCCCATCTAGCTCGAGCCAGTTGAGCCCTGATAATGGGTTGTTCAAGATTGGGCATGCACGCAGAATGCCCCGAGGTGATAAGGAGAATGGAAGTATAACGACGGTGCTGAGTCCTAAGAGCAACGGCATCAAGACTGGAGCAAGGAGAATGACTATTAATGGGCCAAGCGGTGGGAGCCTTCGAATCAGCACTAAGAACGCGATGCTATTGGGTCAAATCAGGGAAGGAAATGAGAGGGAGAGTATGGCATTTCCTGGAAAGCAGAATTGGCGCTAGACGCTTGGTTGTTTAACATGCGAGAGTTTCTTTTTTGTGATGTTTGGCGTAATTTGGGTGAATTGCCTGTTTTGTTTTCATTCTCTTCTCTTCTAGTAGTTGGAAAGTTCATTGAAGTGGAGGTCTTAATGCCGTCACCAGATGAAAGTGAGGGTGAAGCTTATATATACCACACATTCGAGGAAAGAGTGTAGAGATGGGAGACCGACGATTCTTTGCGGGCTTCTATCGTATGAATGAATGCTTCTCCTAGGATGTACTTTTCTTTTTTCTTTCATAATCAGTGTGGATTATTCTTTTTTTCCTCTTCCTTGTCTACCTCATTCCGTTTCACTTTATATCGGTCATGCACTTTCTTTTCCTTTCTTTCGTCCTTTTTCAAGCGGGTCCCGTCAGCACCATCACGCCGGTACAGTACCTGTGGGAGAAGTTATGTGCATGTTTACCTTAGATTCCGGGGGGTGGCGTTGAGTTGTCATAATATTTTTAAGAAACTAAGAGAGGGTATTTTCCCTTCAATTGGAGGCTTTGGGAAGCTTAATTCGATTTTAAACTCAGGGCCTGTTCGGTTTGCATTGTAAAGTACTGTACAGTGCTAATATCATAAAATATAATGCGATATTTTTGAAAGCAGCGTATTTTCTACATAACATTTTTTCCACAATATTTCGCAATACCTTTACTTTCCTTACTCCTCAACCTGTAGGCCTCGTGATGCTTTTCCCTTCGCATAGGATGAGTATAGGAGCATCTACTACCGGTGGTGTACCGTACAGTACTTCGCTACGCTATTAATTTTTGCTTTGGGACTTGCTTTGATTACTAGGAAATATGCCATTCTCAAAAATATTGCAATATATTTTTTTACTGGTAAGTGCCGAACAGGCCCCTAGTTTGAACTATCCTGTGATTAAGTTGGATATTGTGTTATCGTTGTGAGTCGTGAGTGCTGGTATCGTACCAGTACCGTCGCGGGGGAGAGGGGGGGGGGCAGTTATCGGTAGTGTGCAGGAATCTGGGGGCTTGCCCAAGTCTTGGCAGGGGTGGATAGCCCAACCCCACCTTTGAGTGTTACCTTTCCACACGTTTTCTTTCCTGTCCGAAGAGATTTCTACTATTACCACCACCACCGCTACCATACGACACGGCGGCAAAAACAATACTTGACAATCGACGAGTGTTTCCAAGATTTCACCCTTTCCTTCAAGATAATTTAACCTACCACCAAAAAAAAAAAATGACAACGATCGAAGTGCCCTCCCTCCCCCTTCCCCCCCCCCCCTTCCCGCACAACCTTTCTCGCCCACTAACCACAACATCCAAAAACCAGACCGCCCCGACTCCCAAAACCTACACCCTCCTCCTAAAATCCCACCGAACAACGATCCTCCTCTACGCCCAAGCAGCGGACCCCCTCTCGCAACTGAAGTCCCAGATCTACACTCACCTCACCATCAACGCCGCGAACCTGGAAGCCTTCGATTCCGGCCTCAATATTCCCGGTTCTGCGGACGAGATCGTGCTCGCGCTACCGGCGGCCGGTGTCGGCGGCGGGTGGGCGGAGGTGGAGGGGCAGGATAAGGGGATCTGTACCGTTGCGAGTTTGGGGGTTAGGGATAGTGGGGTGCTGGCTTGGAGGGTTGTCGGGGATGAGGGGTTTTTGGTCGAGGTTGCTGGGGGGGAGGAGGAGGTCGGGGAGGATGGGGAGGGGGATGGGGAGAGGGAGGAGAATGGGGAGGAGAATGGGGAGGAAGAGGAGGAATATGAGGAGGAAGAGGAGTGATCTCTCTTTACTGGTTGGATCATCATGACCCACTCGAATTGGTGCCTACGGCACTTGCGGTTGTGGTGGTTCGCTGGGCGCCCATGTAGTTTGTGGGAGAGAGTATCGCGGGTATGATACTTTACTAGACTTTTTTAACTCTTAGCTTTAATTCCATCCGGAAGTGTTGATGTACGTTTTGCATTTGCTCTCCTGATGACCTTTAATACCGATACCCTACCTATTCTATCTTTTAAAAATAATCTTCCATCATCTATGGAATACCGTAGTGCACATACTTATTCCCCTCAAGCAAGCAAGCAAGCAAGCATCCCAACAAAAGGGACAAAACAGAAAAACTCATCATACTTTTAGCCCTTTCTTCCCCCACCCCCACCCCCACCCCCACCCCCAACCTACCCGCCTTACTCATCCTTCTTACAACTGTCAATCACCTCCTGCACCCTAGCCGCCGCCTCCGCATTCCTGAATTCATCCCTCTTATACGCCATGAACAGAATGGCACCAGTGATGGCGACAATAACATCAATGATATGCACGGTCCACCATACATGCTGAATTCCAAGTTTGCAAGTTTGGTATTCGAATTTCCAAGCTTTCACACACATCCCCCCGGAAAAATTAGTCCGGCGGATAAATAACTAGTGTATTGAAATGGATGGGGGGGGGTGGCATACAATCACTTTCATGGTCAAACCAAGCAGACACCAACCCGGCGTTCCCGCCAAACTCACCCATCATGCTTCGCACAGTGACTTCCCGTACGCCCTGCAGTCCGTCTTCGCGGGTCCCGCTCTTCGCAGTCTCGGTGGCTTCGGCCCTTGCTGTTTCCCCGTGCTGCCATTCCTCCCACGAGCTTCGGTTCCAGCCCGTTTCCCCGCCGACCCAGGTGTGGCGCACGTCGCAGCCGACGTGGTCGTGTCCCGTGAGTATCATGCCGGGTTCCTTCTTCGCTTTGTCGTTGTCGTCCTCGTCATCGCCGGCGGGCACGCCGAATATCTGGTCGAGGAGTAGCTCGCTGACGGCTTCCGAGAGGTGGTTCTGCTCTTTTATTCCGCCGCCGTGGTGGGCTGGGTAGTGTGTTATTAGCGGCGCGTCGGCGCAGAGGCCTGCGGGCTTGTGCAGGGGGAGGTGGGTGAGGAGGAGGGAGGACTGGCGGAGAGAGGGGGATTTGGACTCTAGCGATTGGTCGATGAGTGCATAAGAGGCGTCTTGTATCGTGGGGTCGAAGATTGGGGAGTCTAGCGGGAGGGAGTTTAGGATTACTAGGCGGAGGGTTGGGGGGATTTTCTGTGATTCCTCTCCCTGAGCTGCTTCACCGGCGATATTGCTAGCACTGACAGAACTGGACGTGTTGGGCATAAACTTAACAATATAATTGGCAACCCCAAACATCTCCTCGAAACGCGTGATCCGATTCCAATCCATATCCCCGGCGTATCCGATATCGTGATTCCCAGGAACTATAATCACCTTCTTCCGCCAAACCGCCCTGGCCTCCTCATCCGCGGCGATATCCCCCGCGTACCTCTGCACATCCTCACTCGTAACCTTCCCTTCCTCCCCACCAAAGATCCTCCAGAACCTCTCCCCGCGGATCTTGAACTCCTCATCACTGATCCACTGCGAGCCCAGCAGATCACCCAATACTATCGTGTGCGTAGGCGCTAGCATCTGCCTGGTGCTGCGGAATATATGGCGGAGGTAGAGATCGTTTCCCCAGAGGTCCAGCACCTTGCCCAGTCCGCGGATGGTGAGGCCGATGTCGGTAGGGTGCACGTAGTCCCATAAGGAGGATGTGCCTGTTGTCGGTGCTGTTGCTTCTGTCGGCTGGCCAGCTCTGTACTTTAGCAGTGTCGAGTCGCCCTCCAGTTGTGGGTCTGCCAACGCTAGCAGGCGGAAGGGTGCTGCACCCCCATCCGGTTGAGGCGTGAAGGCGCAGAAGTGGAAGACGGGGTAGAAGTATAGGTACAGGTTTAGGAACACGGCTAGTGGGAGGAGTAGGTCTAGGTGGATTATTATTAGGAGGTTTTTTATCGTCATTTTTGTAGGAGATGCCGGGTTTCGGGCATGTAGATGGAAAGGGGGGAAGTGAGGGAGAAGGGAAAAAATGGAGGTTTGAGGATGGGGTAGGACGGAACAAGTGGTCTAAGAAGAAGGAGAAGGTCTTTTCGGATCAGTGCATTGAGAGTATTGATGCTATGGTCTATTGTGTGGTGCGCTCTCACTAAATTAATTTACCTCCTCCCTATCGCCACCGTTGGTTCCCCCAGTTAACTGCCAACTTGAGCGAACCCCCCCGTCTAGCCGCTGTTGCAAGGAGTTTTGTCTTGACTTGCATGTAGAGTAGTCTACTTGTAGCTTGTCAGGGTCCGGATCACGTGGCATAAGGGAGGTGTGGGTTAAAAATCAATCACGGGTAAAAACTCGGTTAACAGTATTTTGACATCTGTGGGTGAATCCTGCTACAGCACCAGTACCGGCATTTCCTTTGTTAAATCCGTGGTATGATTTACCGGTATTGTACTCGAGTACCTGTGTTAGGTTATGCAGACTTGTTACGAGCGGAATTTTAAAAAGGGGGAAGGAATTCGCTAATTCAGCAGAGTGCCGGTACGGTACCGCACACTGGAAAGGGCTCCGTTCACACCAACGAGCTGGATCTAGGCCGAAGCGGAACTACTCGTACGGGTCCCGGGGCACACCTCGGATAACGGACGAAGGGGAATACTATAAGTTAAGTTGATGGGTGATATGATATGTAATCGAGCTTGGGATTTAACTAGGGAGCTATCTGAGCATGGCGCGTGTTAGGGATGAGTTATGGGCGTGAAGGATGCAGATGCCCTGAAGATGACCTCCTCTTGCGGTGCGGAAAGTGTTTTGCGTTCATTCCCGCTTCCCTCCAACAAAAAACATACGGCCGACTGGAGTTCAATCCTCAACCGGCACCTCATCATCCGAACCAATTTCATGGGGACAAAGCTCCGTTTATTTCCCAAGCGTCACAACCCGTCCCTCAATCGCGTAAAAAGCCTAGTGGACTCCGGGAGAAACCAGTTGTGGAGAAATAAGAAAAAGAAAACAAGAGAGAGATAATGACGAATAGGAAACCCAGAGGAACCGAACAACCTTTTATTTTTGCTTTAGAAATACCAATTGTTTTTTTGTTTTTTTTGTTTACATGACAACACCAGAATTTGAAGCAATACGCTAGGGGGAACAGAATTAGTATATAGTACGAAGGAGGAAAATACGGGTAACTCACGGGCCACAAGTCCGCCGCCTCTTTACCGACAGGGCCAGTAATAGCAGATCCCTTCATTTCGCCCTTAGGATTGACGATCTAATCCCCCACCATCGTTAATTCTTCTATTCTTCCACTAACATCGGTTTCCCTGTGGGATGCACATACCACCCCAGCATTATCCTCAAAATATAGGTAAACCCCATCAGCCCTCCTCCATGGCTTGCTCTGGCGCACAACAACGGCTGGCATAACCTTCTTGCGCAATTCGGGCTTTCCCTTCTTGACAGTGGCCATGACCATGTCGCCAACGCCGGCAGCCGGGAGACGATTAAGACGAGCACCGATTCCCTTGACGGAGATGATGTACAAGTTGCGGGCGCCGCTGTTGTCGCAGCAGTTCATCACCGCGCCGACGGGGAGACCGAGGGTCATCTTGAGCTTGTTACCGGCGGCACCTCCACGGCTTTATTCATCTCATTAGCTTTCCAGAGAAGCTGTAGATTGTGGAAGTAGGGGAAGGATTTACCCTCTTTTTGCCATTTTGACTTGCTGCTTGGTGGATTAGTTGTGGGAGATTGGGATTGATGGAGGGGGGTGAAGTTCGTGAGTTTTTGGGTGTTGGAAATTCGTGGGTCTGCTGGTGGAAAGTTTGTTTTTTCCTAGGTTGGGATGGGGTTGTGTGTGTGTGGTTGTGTGTGCGTTTGAGGGTTTGGCGGGGTCGCTGGTTGATTAGGGCTTCTGTTAGAAACTACTAGTCACAGCTGATCTGATTAGATAACAGAGATCTTAGGCGAGGGTCACGAATCATGAATTGTGATTTGGCAAACATTGTACGGGACCAAGAGGCTTGGGAGATAATGTAGATAGATTGGCTGAAGCTGCTGTTGTGGGTATTGGCGATGGCTTTCCTGGGTGCGATTCATAAGATAACAGGACCTCATCTTCCGTGAGTCTGATCAATAAGCCGTGGTGTGATGTGTCACTGAGGCCACAACTTAGCCTCTCGCATCACCAGATTCGGTTACTCAGTATATATCGTGACATCCTCAACTCTTACCAACCCACATGCAGCCCCCGCAGTAGCCCATCCTCCACAATTATCATTGGAGTTCCAACAGACAGAAGCAATAGCGGATTGCTCCGGATAAACCTGTCAGTTCCACAATCAGCCAGTCAATTCCACTAGTCAATTCCACTCCCCTCCTCCCAGGAAATAACCTACCGTCGAGTGAACCATAGCACTGAACGGCTCCTTCATCTCGAGCTTAAACCCCTCATTAATCCTAAACATCCCCGTACTCTGCGCAAACTCTAACTGAAACCAAGTCTGCTGGTAATTCTTGATCTTCGCATGGAACATTCTCCGTGCCGGGTTCGAAAAGATAGCCTCTCCCTCGGTGCCCCCACTCAGCACAAACGTGTGCATTCTGGAGGAAGCGACGGAGCTGCCAACACCACCGTGTCGGGCGAGCATGGTTGAGGAGTAGAAGCGGCGGAGCGGATAGTACTTTATCCATGCTCCTTCTTCGCTGGAGACGGCAGCCTGGAGAGCGTCGACCCAGGTGATCGACTGAGGGGCGATACGGGAGCGGTTGTTGACGATTGTGTCCGCAAAAGGGTCCAAGAGGGAGGTTAGGCGGCAGTAGCCGTCCATTGAGGCAGATAGAATGTAGTGTGGGAAGGAGGGGTAGCAGGTTGCCAGCTGAGTTATGTAACTGTGGTGGAGGGGGAAGAGCTGGGTGGGTATGAACTCTATTTTAAGGTACGTTAGCTTACCGTCCTTCGGGTATAAGAACAAGCGAGTAGGGTTGTTGTTACCCCCGTCGAATTTGTAGCGTAGATCCCATACTGCAATTTCCCCGGTTGCGGTACCAGCCACGATCTCGTGGTCAGATAACCAGGCTATAGAAGAGCACATGGAGTCTTTTATCGATAATTCAAACGCTGGTTCTACTATCTTCACTTTTGAATAACTCATAGTCATCAGTAATCACTCGCGAAATTGGATCGGGGCGGGGGGATAACCCACAGAAGATGCAATCGCCATCAGTATCATCATCTGGTAGAAAAATCCTCATTATTCTCAATTTTCCGTCCCGGAACACGGCCCCGAGTAAACCTAGTTCCTTTTCATCTTTTGGTGTTTTCTTTATCGGGCACCACGAGAGGTGCTGTGCATAGCCCCACTCGTGACATAGGGCCAATGCTATGGACGGAGGATCGCTGGGCTTTACATCCTCGGAAGTGGGGAAGCGCCAGATCTGTATGCATGAGGGTGAGGGTTCAGGGACATATATGGACTTTGTGATCGGTCTCGGTTCTGGGAACTTTGATCTATCGGGACCGGATTTTTTGGTAGATATTGCGAGATACTGAACACCTAATAAAACATTAGCCGCCGCGAAATGGCCCGAAAAACAACTCTTCTCTATACCTTTTGGCCTATTGGGCGCCCATTCCATACTTGTGACGTGTCCTCCAGCGTTTAATATGTATCCGTTTTTATGTTCTCCAGATTCCTTCAGGTTAAATATCCCAAACCTTTGGAATGTCAAAATCTTTCGCTCGGCTCCGGGACCAATAATACACTTGATTGGCTCCTCGCTTTTAGATGGCATATGCATCTCTGCAGTAACCCCTGTCCCATCTACCGAGTTTGCATCACAATACTCCATTCTCTCAACCCTCTGCATCCCATCACTCAAATCAACCAATTCATCCTGCCCTTCCTGCCAGAAAGGATCTGGTTCAAAGCTATCTTCCTCCGGCACCGCTGGGACCCCCAAAGAGCGGTCTCGAACACCGGTGGCAATTACCAGCGCATGGGTATTCATTCCATACGTAGTGAATAGCCTCTCCCGCTTTCCGGTTGCCTGGTGGATCCGCGGACGATAGGTAAGTTTGACACTCGGATTCGGCAGCTTTAAAGCAAAATATTCTGCCTCCTCTGCGTTGGAATTGATCGTGTCCTCACTAGCGGCTCTCTGCCGGCGCTTCCTCGAAGTCCTAGGAGCATGGAATTCGTGTCGGCGGTGGACTCGGGCACTTGCAGGGCTTATTAATGTGGCGTCAGCTCTGCGGCCAGAGGATTGTTTAGGTGTCCTTCCTCGTCCTCTTCTCCTTCCTTGTGGGTTCCCTCGCGCCCGTGGGGTCTCTCCTCCAGAGCCATAAGCGTCGTCATCATCGTCATCATCATCCTCCTCCTCCTCCTCCTCCTCGTCTTCAAAGCTGTCAGAATTAGCGTCGGATGCAGATTCACCTTGTCCGGGAATCTTAGGTGGACCCTGCCGGCTGGAGGATCCTGGCTTTTCTAAGACTTGGTATTCACTGTTTTCGCCCTCTTCGTGGTGATTGTGTGTCGGCCGCGCCTCGGCATCGCTGTCTAGGTCTTGGTATGGATCGACGGAGTATCGGACCGGTTTGGTTGCCCGTGACCGTCGAGTTGTGGGCATTGTTCGGGGGTATTTTTCTATGAGTAATGGAGTTATAAGCCTTTGCTGGGAGTTATTCCGGGAGGGTGCAGGAGCCAGGAATCTCTGAAACGTTCGAGGTGGGGGCGGGGCTCGAGATAAGTATTAGTACCGTGTAATACAGTCTCTCTAGAGTCAAATCTAAAGCGCGGGTGTTCCCGTGGTTTCATTAAAGCATAACCTAACCCCGGCGACCGTGTTTCCAACTGAGCATGTTGTAGTCACGTGATTTGAATTCAGCGCGGAGGAGTTACCCGGATACATTCCTTTGGCATGCGACGTCCTGAGACATGACTGATTACTGTATCATACCGCACAGTACTGGTATGATACCAACACCTGACATTGCAAGGGTGAGACAACTTCAACTGAATTCTTGGAGTACAATGCTCGGGAGGCTTGGGCGGTGGGTTTTGCTGTGGCTTGGTTGATTCAATTATTTGTTGCGACTTCTGGGTGATGGAGACGGGGCTGGATACCAATGTCTTGGGAAATGAGTCGGTTTTCATCCGCCAATACTTCTTTTCAGCTGAGGATTTATGAAGTGACACAGGACTTCTGGGCGTGGACAAGATCCCCCACCCAACTATCACATAATTTGCCAAGATTTATTTTTATCTAGGGTTTTGGTTGTGGATTGGAAACTGCTTCGAATTTTTTGGTAAGGCTCTCAGTTGGTGATGGGAACGGTTGATATTTCATGATCACGCTTTTTTTTGCACAATTGGTGGTATTGTGCACTTCCCACCTGGCGCATGGTTGGCGTTGCTTCTATTTGTGGGCACAAGGCGTCCGCGTAAGCTCTTTGAAACGAGCAAAGAATAGCTTTGGATCTGGATCGGGGTCGTGGAGCCCAGCCGGGTCGCGGTCTCGCTCTCGGGTCGATCTTGGTGGGGTCAGGCCTTTCATCGACGTTCAGCCCTCAGATGTTCCTCCTGATTTGCACTATGATAATTATGTGCTTTGGTTTAAATTGTTCCCACCAGCCCCTCCATACCCCCTCCTGTGGGTGTGATAAATAAACCCTTAACCCCCCTTCCTTCCTTCGTTGATTCCTATCCCCCCCTGGAGAGTTTATACCGGTATCATTCCGCATCTTGTGCCTGCGATGTTGAACTCTTGCAAACTGCTTTTTGCGGCCTGTTTGGTTCCTGCTGTACTTGGTCAAACCGCGGTGACGTCAGTGACTCCCTTAGAGCCACCCAGCATTTTTACTGACCTTTCGACAAGGGAGATTACCGGCTCTTCACCCACTGCGGAGATTGCGCTAAGTAGTGCTACCGGTACTTGGACGAACCCGCCCGCACAAACGCCAAGCGAGGCTGCTTCCGGCACTCGCACTTCAAGTGCTCAGCAACCCGCACAGACTCAGCCCTGCAATTTACACGTCGAGTTTTGCGCTCGACGGTATAGCAATATCACGTATGTTGGAGCTCATAACTCGCCATTTGTGGGGGGGGGGAATATGGCAGCAAATCAGAATTTGGATGTGAAGGCTCAGTTGAATGATGGCATACGCATGCGTATGTATGTTCCTCTCTTTTCTCTCCCTTAGGTTTGCTCTAACGAGGAAATAGTCCAAGGGCAAACACATAGAATGAACCAAACTATACACTACTGCCATACTAGGTTGGTCGCTAAAGATAGTCTCCGTCTAGGCGCTCTAACTGACTTATCGATCTGTGAAATAGCTGCGATCTCTTCGATGGTGGGCCAGTTGAAGACTATTTAAGGACGGTCGTGGGATGGCTGCGTGATAACCCTTTCGAAGTTGTCACCATTCTAATTGGGAATGGTGATTCCCTCAGTGTCGGAAATTACAAGGAGCCTTTGGAGAAATCTGGTTTGGCGGAACTTGCGTATGTTCCGCAGGAACGGAACATTAAAGTAGACCAATGGCCAACACTCTCGGAGATGATCCTGATGGGTGTGTACGATGTCTCTGAGTAGCTCAAGTAGACTGAGTACTGACCTTTAACAGGCAAGCGGGCTGTGGTTTTCATGGACTATAAAGCCGATGAGGGCACCATACCCTATATTCTGGATGAATTCAAATACATGTGGGAAACACCGTTCTCACCAACGGATGAGAATTTCCCCTGCACGATTGACCGTCCTCCGGATCAACCCAAGAACGACGCGCAAGGAAAACTATACATGGCGAATCATAACCTGAATACCGAGATTTCACTTATCGGGCACAAGGTTTTAGTCCCCGACACTGATTCTCTTAATCAGACCAACGGCGTTTCAGGGTTTGGATCATTAGGCCTCATGGCGAACAATTGCAGAGGTTCACTCCTCCCTGTCTCTGGGTGAGTGGCACAGCTAACAAATACGGCAGCTGATTGGGACCGATACCCAAATTTCCTTCTTGTAGACTTCTACGACGTCGGCTCCGTCTTCGAAGTCGCTGCTAGAGCAAACGATGTTGAATACAATCGTCCATGCTGCGGAAAGAGAAAGTCCACTGCATCACCACTAGTGAAGGCCACAGACTCGCTTTTGCTCCTTCCAACTCTCGCCATACTTCTTTCTATCGTTCTCTAGTCCGGCAGGTCGTGGGAAACAATGTTCTGGGTTGCTTCTATTCGGGCTTGTATCAGGGTTTTGGAATGAGGGGAGCTTATTGGGGGCGTTTTTATTCATTTGGGGAACAGAGGTGGGCTTTTGTTATTATGAGTTTCTAGTATCATGGGCTGGGTGGTGCATGTGTTTTGGCTATGCACCTTTTTTGTGATTTGGGGCCGGGGCATAATGCGCGTTGGCAAATGAGGGGGGCTATGAAGGTGTATTCATCGAATGACCCTTCAGCCCTATTTGGAGGGATTTTGTAGTGGGAGTTATGGATTTAATCTTGGCTGAACAATGGTCGACGGACGATGGGCAAAATTTCCATCGGAGTTAGGTAAATCTCTCTTCGTTTAGAGTTGATTTAATTCTTTGTCAAATAAACTAAGATTTCCACACTCGGTATTGAGATTTCAGTAGAGGGTGTGAAACACATTGATCTCGCGCAATACCGTACCGCACCAGAGCGGGTCTATCCGCCTGCCCACCTACCGTACTTTAATACCGTCGTACCACACCATCATCGTAAAAACCGCTCCCGGAAGACTTTCTTTCCCCGTTAAGTTGGGCCGAAAAGTGATGAGCTAAATTTAAATCATATCTCGGTTCCGTTGAAGACAAGTTGCGATACTTGGAATATCATACAAGTACCGGTAGCAGGTCAGGAAGTCTGAGCCTCCTCTTTTCTTTTTCTCTTCCTTCCCTTTTCGGAGTGAGTCATGGTGCGGGCGGGAGTTGCCCGAACAATACTTGTACTTTTCCCCTTCGTGTTCCCTCGTGCACGGGGTATCATACAGTATGATACAGTACCTCGAATATGAGTGCTGAAGAGTGATTATGTATATCAGACGCTAACATAGCACTCTCCGTTTAATTTCGATTTCAATTTTTATTATCGCTACAAGTATTGCATAGCGTTTCCATAGAAGTTTCTTTTTAGAGCGCGTTATTGTGTTGGCGGAAACCGTTTGGTTTTACGATTCTCTTTGCTCGGTTACTTCGAATTTGGGCGGTGTCATGGTCGTATCGTGAGTTAATTCGCAAGTGATGATGTGCGAATGGTCCAGTCCGCCCGTCCGCCCGTCCTTCTGTGCTGGTGACGGGGGGTGCTGTAGAAATCTCGTGCGCTCAGGCCGGAGGACAAAAAAATGCTGCGACTTTTGCAGCCCCAAAAGTGCAGTGTAGTACTAGTACAATACCCGACGAGCGTGCTGGGACTCTCCATGCTGAAACGGCTGCTCCCCGGACCGGGGGAGGTGATCCCGGAGGGAGATATCAACGAGCAGGATCAGAGCGAGCGAAAAATGTCATTGGTCATTGGTGGCCGGGTTCCGCTGTTGTGAAGATGATAATGCGAGCCGTCTCTTTCAGAAGGCGCGCTTTCGTAATGATAACAGTAATACCCTTCCCCGCCTAGAGATAACATAATACAACATGCCAACGGTAGTAAAAGATAAAACAGACAGGGTCCTAAAGTGTAGCAAAAGAAAAAGAAAGGGTAAGTAATGGAATGCAAACAAGGAAATGTGTGTGTGGTCATTAGTAAGTTACTAATCCAGTAGTGCTGTAATAGTATCGGGTATAAATTTAAAAGAGATATATTACCGACTAAGGTAAGCCTGGTCATACAAGGAAGTTATACCAAAGTGTGAATATGAACTACAAAGCAAAGTCCTACGTGGGCGAGAACCGACGCTAATCTATTATAGTGGTAGGAAATAGTAACATTCCGGTACGCATGCCGGTAGCGCAATACTGGATCGGGTAAAGGGACAAGCATGATGGGGAGGAATCGTGCTTAGCACGTCCTCCTTGATGAAGAGATCTCTCGGTCAGAGAAACCCTTGAGGCCCGATGAAGAGTGCCACGCCCCTGCGGTTGAAATGGGCCCGCTGGATCTTAGGATACCGACAATGCTCCTTCATCAGGAGGTTGCTACTGTAGCTAGCCTGTTCGCTAAAGACCCGCTGCCGTGGACAAGACAGCTTCCGGCTCACCCCCGTAAGAATACTTCTGGACCCGTCCCGAGCTCCCTGGGTAAGACTGAGACTCGACGATGACGGGGACCTGCTTAGGTTATACCTGAATTCCAAGTAGGTCAGATCTTTCGGCCGGTTCCTCCCCTGGCGTCCGAGGCACGCCCTTTCTCGAATATTCTCTATATTGGAGAGTCCGCTATATTGGGGAGCCCATGCCAAAAGAGAGATTATAGATTGTACAGCGTTGCTTGCTCAGAAGCTTTTTGGCGATTGCAAGTACAATAATCACATACCCACGGAGAAATCCTCTTGAACGCACGGAAATATTATCTATATACATGCCGACCTCGACAAACTTTCCCTTCTTAGCGGCCTACACTTTGCATCTTTTTTCGGGATCGCTGAGATTGTAGCTGGTCTGATTAGAGGTGTAAAGTTGTGGTATCAGCCCAAAAGACTGTGTAACAAAGACTACTTGGACGGGAAGACGTCAACCGGAGGACGTTAGCCCCGACTAACCGGATAAGGTAGCTAGGCAAAACACCACTCAATTCCGCAGCAGGGAATAGGTAGGAGGGAGTGGTGAAAACACTCTTCGGGCGGGACGACACTAGCCCCGACAAACCATATAACATATTATTATCCCGACCGAAACACTACTCAGCTGTGCTGCCCGTTGCACGTAAGAGGGGGTTATGGAAATACTTCTCTGACGTCAAGAAGTCAACCCCGACAAACCAGAAGTAGCGGGAGCAGTGCTAGTATCATAAACTCCTCCTGCGAGTCACTCTCAGTATCCCCCAGAAACTCAAGAACTCGTGAAGGGAAAAGGGGTACTCGGCGGAGGGATGGAGGAGGTTGGGAAAGTGTTATATTATATATACGGTGCTAGGCTCCCCGTGGAACAACCCAAGGCCCCACATATCATTTACTGGAAAACATAGGTAACATCAGTGCAATAGCACTGACTTCGTTCTCTCCTTTCAGCAGTGTGGCTGTCGCCAAAGGAGCCAAGTTCTCACCCGGTTTTGTGGTAGGGGCGGCTTGTGGCGATGGATTCCAAGGTAGTGGGAAGGTGGGGCTAGCTTCGGATGCGAGCCGTGGGCTTGCGATACAAGATCAAGAGCCACAATCCTCCCGGATGGTTTCAAGCCTATGAACCATCGCCGCCCCCGTGCTGAGGATAAGTTGCCAAAATTGCCTCGAAATCTCCTAATACCGTGATATCTCTTCACAAGGTATTTCTCTGCCGAATCAACGTTGAGGTCCACGGCATCTCAACCGTGGCTGGAATATCGTCCTGAAATCTCAAGCATTTGCACCAGCGATATGTGGAACCCGGGGACTAGGGAATAGATTATTGAGCTTGTCATCGCGATAAGGCGTAGTGAAGTCTTATCATATGACAAAAAGTTTCGATGGGGCATTTCAAGTTGGCTTATGGCAAGTAGGCCGCTTTCATTCCCCCCCCGTATTCCCTGATCCAATCCAATTTACAGCGGAATTTGGAAGGAATAGAATTTGTCGGAAGAATGCTTCCTAATGCGGCCCACGAGAAGGCTAGTCTGAGCTACTTTTAGCTACTCTGAGTTACCACTTCTTAGGCACTGCACGCAGTGGGCCTTTTTGGTATAGCCTTGGATATGGACACATATCGGTAGTGAAAGCAGATTAGGACAAGCTTAGCGAGATAGGAAAGGTGGCCAGAGTAAGTGCTATATAAAAGTAGGGACTGTGGCCGGTGTTTAGTGAAGAATTGAACTCTCCTCTCATATTGAATATCATCGAGTGTATTTTTTTTCCAATAGAATTAGATCGCCTTTTTGCTGAATCCCAGTCTTGGTGTCACTGTCATCACTGCCATTACCTGTGCTTGAACTACAAAGACGCTGTACGATGTGAGCAATATCGTTCCCTTCCACCCTATTCCTTGCATGCTTTGACGACCTTTCAGGGAGGCCGGGATCACGTTTGCTGGTGGGTAAAATACGAGTGATTTGAATAAGATGGTTGCTCGTCCGATCTTTCCTTGACACCAATGATCTCGACATATCTTGTTGCCTCCTTCACGGTCATTGTCCTGGAACTAGTCTCTAGGTGTATGATATTCCGAATTCATCATGGACTATCACTCGTTGTTAAATAATCACATGCCCTGTTTGCCATGCTTCCAAAGCCCTCATCTTGTGTGCTATGATATGACAGGTGGAAGAAAGGAAACAAGTAGCTTTGAGAAAGGATTATGTTTATTTCCTTTCCTTTCTTTTTCTATATAATCTTGTGATTTCTTCTCTTGAGATTGTACGGCTCTTCTAACAACAACATGCGCGACCCATTCATGGGCGGGACACCATATTTTTATTGTACAGGTATCATGCTGTCTATGATATGATAATATTGAACAGCGCAGCGAAGCCACCGCCACCGCCATATCTGAAACGACTGCATCTGCTCCGCTTATGGCCTGTGCCGAGCACCACGTTAGATCCTGGTATCAGTGTCGCTGATCGCCAGGAGTCCATTCCGTGGTGGAGTATTCGTTCTCTCCGTCTCTGCCCCGCCACTGCAAGTTCCAAACTAGGATTAGTTTGATCTGGAACGGTGACTTGGTACTACTATATGCGCGCAGGGTTTTACCAATATTGTGTCGGGAGCGGCAGGTGCTTTTAGAGGGCCGACTTCGAAACCCCCATGGACTGCTGGACTGCTCGGAGGAAGGAAGGCTGCCGGAGAGAAAAGGGGTAGAAAGCGGTAGAACAAAATACTGTATACAAACACCAGGGTATGGCGGGAAAGGACGGGAACAAGAATCACGAAATTTTGGAGGCTTTCGATTCATGAAATTGGTGTTTTGTTTTATCGTATTTCTCATCGCATGTAAGCTATTATCTATGATACCTGTGGAATGGTGGCGTTGCTCGCGCTGGATTGTATACCGGTACAGGATTAGCTACGGTCCGCCGATCGCTTTGAAGTGCTGGGCACGGTGCATGGAAGTGGTCCGTGGCCATTCCTGATGCTGTATTATGGTCTATATGGGCCATCAATGGATGTACTCCTCGGTCAGGAGGATATCCGGTTGGTAAAGTCGCCATCTAATTTTTTGAACCCGGTGCCCGGTCACCTGTTCCCCGAAAATCCGAATAACCTCCTGTCTAGCCGTCTTAATAGGATTTACAGTAGGAAAAGTCGAGAGATTCCAGATATTGAAACATATTATAATGCTCCTGTAACCCGGAGCCGCTTGGCGGTACCGATCTCATCTTAGTCATGCATATTCCCAAAATGATTGGATATTTAGTGTCACACAAGCCTCATCTCCCCGCTTTCTTCAGCCGTTCTCGCAGAACTTTTTACAAACTCCCCTAATACCCCTACAAATTGTTTTACCATTTCTACATTCGATCCATACTCTTGACATAA